GAGACGAATCAGGGTTTTCTTTGTGCCCCAAAACACAGTCTGTTCTTGGACCGAAAGGAGCCAAGGATGTTTATGAAGTTGCTACCGGTAATGCTAAAGAGAACTTAACGGTAATGTTTACATTCAATGCAGCTGGAGAAACATGTCATCCAATGGTAATATATAACTACAAAAGAATACCACAAAATATTATTGAATCTGTACCTGCTAATTGGGGTATTGGACGTTCAGATTCAGGATGGATGGTGTCTGATGTATTTTATGAATTTATTGCAAACGTGTTTCACCCATTTCTTATTCAAAGTGGTATAGAATTACCTGTAATATTATTTGTCGATGGTCATAAAAGCCATCTTACATACCATCTTAGTAACTTATGCAATAATTTAAAAATAATTTTAATTGCTCTTTACCCTAATGCAACCAGGATACTACAGCCAGCAGACGTAGCAGCGTTTAGACCACTAAAAGGTGGGTGGAAAAAGGGTGTATTCGAATGGCGCAATGAAAATCCTCACTGTGCAATTACTAAAAAAGATTTTGCCCCTATTTTAGATAAAGTGATAAATAAAACAATTATACCTGACATTTTAATGAATGGTTTTAAGGCATGCGGTCTTTTTCCGTGGAATCCAGACCAAATTGACTTTAGGAAATGTCTTGGGAAAAATAAACAATTAACTGTTACAGAAAAAAATATGGTTATTGACTCTATAGACTATAATAATTTAGAATATAATCAGTTTACTGAAATTGTTGGTTCTGAAATAATAGAAAAGTTTAATAACATTCAGAATGTTATTGAAAAAGAAAATCATGCTGAAGTGTTTTATATACTGTATAGGTTATATGAAAAATTAAAAAAAAGTACTAAAAATGATGATGTGGAAAAAAATGCAAGTGCTATATTCAATAACAGTGACTATATTTCTGAAGATATTGATGACTATCAAATTGAAAATATGGAAATCATAGAAAGGATTGAACCAAACAATATAACCGATAATGATGTACAAAATACAACTGACAACTATAATATTACTCCATCATCAAATAGAACTTTAGAAATTCAAGACAAAAATGAGCAACCTTGTACTATGATTAAGAAAATGAATCTGTCTCCTTTAGAAACTTGTTTAGTTTGGCCTATAACACCAGAGCGTAAGGGTAAACGTGACATAGAAAGGGTACCATATTTTGTTATAACATCCCAAAAGTGGAAACACTTGTACGAAGAAAAGGCAAATAAAAAAAAAAAACATTGAAGAGGAAAAAGAAAAAAAGAAAAAAAAGAAATATGATGATAAACAAAACAAACTCACTAATAAAGTGATTCAACAACCTTATTCACAAAATCGAAAACGACAAATTGTAAGAAATCTGTTTTTAGAACCATCAGTAAAAAAAAAACCAGTAGAAACAATTACGAGTCAATCTATAATATTTTCAACCGAAAAATCTAATGAGAGCAACGCCACTCGTATAAAAATACATGAAAATGATGATTCACCACTTTCATCAAAGACTACTGGTGAATGTTTTCAATGTAATGGAACTATAAGCAGTAGTGATTTATCTGATATAGGATTTGAGTGTACATTTTGTAATAATAAGTATCATAAGAGGTGTACTAACAAAGATAATGATTGGGAATTTCTTTATAATGATGATAATATACTATTTATTTGCTATATGTGTGAAAAAGAGGTAAACATGATTTAGACCATACTTTAGGTAGGTACCTATATTATACTTTTAATAATTTTAATTTTAAAGAGAGATTTTCCTCAAGGCTGATGACTATATTTTAATCACATTTTACTAAACTAGGTACCTATTTAATTTGTTTTTAACTGTAGAGAATTATTAAAAAATAACCTATTGTTATTATATTTTTATTTAATTGTTTTTTATTTACTAAGTATTGTCTTTATTGACTGATGACTAAAGGTTCTAGTCACATAATATTAATTTTACCTACAACCTACCAATTATGTTTGTTTTTAATTTAATTGTAATCTATTATTTTATTATTATTTTTATTTATATCTATTTAATTATAACAGTTCTTTTATTTCATTTATTTAGGTATATATTATATAACATACTATATATTTTAAATTTTATTGTAATGTATTATACATTTTTATTGTTTTTTATTTATTAAGTACTGTCTTTGATACTGATGGCTAAAAGTTCTAGTCGCATAATATTAATTTTACTTACAACTACCTATTATGTTTTTTATTAATTTAATTATATTTTAACAGTTGTCATTTGTTTTTATAAATAAATTTTGAACTGAAGAGTAAAGAGGAAATATCAATTGTTACCTATTATAAAATTAAACACCACTATTTTTTTTTGGTTTGAAATAGGCACTGGTGTTGAAACACCACTATATTATACCCATGTTTTGTCAATAAATATTTAAGAATTTACAGGTAGGTATGCATTTTATAAATTATACATATACATTATACCTAACTTTTTATTTATATAATCTTACCTATAGATTTCATGGATAAACAATTTATTAATTTGAAAAATGTACCTACCTAAGTACCTATGAACAATACAATTTAAAAACGGTGTGCCAATAACTGTGCCTGCCAATGCCAACTTTACATCCAATGGTGCCAATAACTATATTTTAGTGTTATTATTTTTAAATTTACAAATAAAAAAATTGTAGTCGAACACAGAATCATTTTTATTAAACATATCAATAGACAACAACATTTGCAATGTATTGATACTATTAGATAAGTTAAATCTTTGATTGGTAGCACATGGGACTGGGATAAAACTGAGATTTTTCTTAAGGTGCCAATAACTATACAAGTTACCCTAGTTGTACGTTTAAGTCGTATTATCCCTGAAAACAAAAATCATAGAGTGTTCTTTGATAATTATTACACAACAATACCATTGTTAACATTTATGGCTAAAAAAGGAATTCATACCTTAGGAACAGTAAGGAGAAATAGATTACCAAATTGTCAATTTATTTCAGAAAAAATAATGAACAACAAAGCTAGAGGAACTGCGTTTGAATACATAACTGTATTTGATGATATTCCACTTACTTCTGTGGTATGGAAAGACAATAAAATAGTTACACTTTTGTCTTCATATTGTGGAATTCTACCAAAAAATAGTATTAATCGTTTTGACAAAAAAACAAAACTTATTTTAAATGTTAATTGTCCTGCTATCATCAAAGACTATAATAGACATATGGGAGGTGTAGATTTGCTCGATTCTCTTATTGGTCGGTATAAAATAAGAATGCGTACAAAAAAATGGTATATGAGAATTTGGTATCATCTAATCGACGTAACAGTTGTGAACGCATGGCTCCTATATAGAAGAGTTGAAGTTCTAAATGGCAGAAAACCTACAATGAGCTTATTTGATTTTCGTTTGAATGTATCATATTCTTTGACTAAAGTTGGCACAATAACGCCTAAAAGAGGTAGACCTCCAACATCAGTATTGAAAGAAATGGCAATAAAAAAAAGGAAGCCTAACACATCACTTATGCCTACTGAATCAGTCAGAAAAGACTGTGTGGACCATTGGCCTGAGTATGTTGGAAGCAGACAACGTTGTAAGTTAATTGGATGTGGAAAACTGACCAACTGTACCTGCACTAAATGCAATAACTATTTCTGTTGTGGAGTAAACAGAAACTGTTTTACTTTATTTCATAAATACTAATTTTAATAACCTATTGTTATCTATTATTTTATTATTAATTATTCATTAATTTTATATACTCCATAAGTGTTTATTTAATTGTTTGATATGTACTAAAAGACTCATATTTTATTATAAAAGTGATAAATATTAAAATGTGATAATTTGTTATTATATCTTAATTTTTATAATCATACTACTGTAAAGGAAGGTTACCTATTATTTTATTATTCATTATTCATTCATTTGATAAGTATTGTTATTATTATTCCTAAGTTTTTATTTAATTTTTTATATCTACTAAAAGTCTGATAATCTTTTATAAAAGTGATCATTTGTTTTTATATTTATATATATATATATTTTTTAATCATGCAGTGATATAAGAAAGATAGTATCTTTTTCATTATTATAATTCATAAATATATTTTTTTGAATTTGTTTGGTATATTATATTGGAAGTTTAATTACCAATTCTATAACTATTACTATTTGAATGTGACAATTTAATATAATAAAGAAAAGATTTCTTATTGTTAGTTAGTTTGTTTTTCTTTTTTTTTTATACTTCAATGCATGATGTTTCGTGGATGATACAGGAACTTAAGTAGTCCTTAAAAAGTGAAATTTAAATAAAATTCAAAAAAAGTATTTTTTAGATGATCATTAATCTTATTTACATCTAAAAATAATTTTTTCAACCGAAAGTTTCACCATAAAAATTAAGTCATGCAGTGTAGGGTTAAGTGTACCCACTTAAAAATTTAGCTAATATAATATTAACATTAAAAATTTCAAACTATAAAAAATATTCTATTATATTCAATAATTTACTGACTGTTTATGGAAGTTTCACTATACCATGGAATTCTAAACATTTTAAGAATTCAAAAAACATTGTTAGCAAACAAAACCTAAATAATAATATATTTAAAATATAACTAGATATTCACGAGGTACGTACCTATTTTGTTAGTTAATAGTTAATAATATTTAAATTTTTTACTAATAGACAAACATACAAAATATAAATATTATAATTATAATATACTGGTAAGATAATCAACCTTATTATAAATAAACTACTTTACTATAATATATTATAATTAAGGAGAGGAATAGGTACAAAATGCATATATAATAATATGTGTTAAGTTTAAGATAATTATTACATTATAATATAAATTATCAATATAATATATTATGTTCAACTAATTATTTACACTTGAGAATTTTTTTTTTTATAATTTTTTTCAAATAATCTATTTGTCCTAACTAGTAATTGGTCTTCTAGGTGTTCAGGTGTTATATTGCATCTATACAGCGATAATATAAATTTTAAGCCTGAAAAAAGGCGCTCAACGCTAACCTGGGTTGCCGGAACAGAAAAAACTATTTGTGCCAGCTGATAAATTTCTGGGTATTTTGTCTTCATTGTCTTCCAGTACTCTAGAATATTTGTCTTGTGGCTTAATCTCTTTTTATCTAATTTGTATGTTTTTAATAAAGTTTCCATTTTTGTTGAAAGTGAATTTTGAGAATTTTGTTGGCTTGAAGTTGAACTTGAAATTGAACTGCACTGGTTATCACTTTCTTTCTGTTTCAGAAAATCTTCAAGTATATCTGTATCATAATTATTTGTCAAATTTTCATCAATACTATTTTCATTTTCTGTATTATCATTGTTAGAATCAACTTGAATCATTTCTAGTTCTTTTATGTGAAACCAAATATTTATTAAATGTGTAATAGCAATATTACATTGATATTCTGTCAATGTTATGTTGAATCGGGGGTCTAAGAAAATTGCTGCTAGAAGAACTTGGTTGTTCATAATATTTAGTTCCCTAGATCTCAAACACTGTACCAACTTATTAGAAAATGTATGGTTCAAGGATTCTGTTTCGATTCTACAAGTAATCCAAGCTCCATAAAAATCAGTAAGAGTCAATTGCTCATATTGCAATATTTTAGTACAAATTTTTGGGGGTAAAAGAGTTGTAAATAATATGTCTACTTGTTGCCATTCTCAACTTTTCTCAGTTCAGGGTCATTTGCTGCCATATTTTGGATAAATGATTTTAGATGTTGTAATCTCTCTAGCATGTCAAATGTCGAGTGCCAACGTGTTAGGCATTCCAAAATTGGCAATTTTAATTGCTCCTTTTTGATCAAATAAATATAAGTTTGGTTGCGCAACTTTCTAACTAGTATGCGAACTTTGCTTAATAGTTTATCTATACTGTTGTGCTTCAAGGTATCAAGAACAGCTAATTGTAAGGTGTGAGCTACACAGCGAATACCTATAACAAAAATAGACAAAGTTTTGGTGTCAACACTCATATTATGTGAAGTAGGTAAGTTACTATTAAATTGTATTTATATCAGTTTCTTATAGTACATTTGTAAAAATATAATTTAATAAACGTACCATTAAAAATTGAACACTCGCCAAGGTTTTCTAACTCAATTATATTTAATACATGTTCTGTGTTTTCATACTCTTTATCAATGCATTCACTATCTTCGTTGAGCAAATTAGCTATTTGTTCATCATCCAATATTGTTACTGTAGCAGCTTCAGTACTAAATGAACAGGAGTTTTAATAAATTAGTAGTTTCTAAAAATATAATTTATATTATTTCCATTACAAAGGGTAGGTTGTGTGTACCTGACGTAATTTATTCAATCAGGTAATAAGGTAAAAAATATTTATATGGTTACGATTGTTTTAATCATAGCTTAAATATACAAGGTTATTGCACATAGCCAAATTGTTATCAAATAAAAATAAAATGGCAGCGTAAGGGTACGGTCCATATCATAGCATATAATATCATAATATAGCCAGTATACGTCGTCTCCTTACGCTGCCATTTTAATTCCTTAACGTGATAAAATGATATAGTGGGGGTACTATTGCAATAACCTTGTATATTTAAGCCATGGTTTTAATGTTGAAAATTACCTAACTTTTTCAGAAATTACAAAAAGAAAATACAATTTTCTCATTTAGGTAATAAAGTCATAACATTACCTTTATATATTTTACACTTTGCATGTATTACAAATTTTCCTATAATTTTACTTTACCTACATATATTATGTATAATTTATATTATTTAATTTATTTTACTGTGATAGAAAAATACCATGATAGGTAGGTAATAAAGATCCAAATTAGCAAGAATTTATAGAGATAACTGATAACAAATGGTGTACCTATTGAAATTACTTTTTTAGAAGATAAAATCTAACTTAAGATATATGTTTAAGAATAGATACAATATTTTTCACAAAAATGATTACCTAAATATATTATAATAATATATAATACTGGGATGCACTAAAAAATAAATACACCTATGCACAATATTTTTTTTTAAATACTATAGTAATATTCCAGTGTACCTATTAATGTTATTATAGTATATAATGGTATTTTGGTACGATGGTAATGATGGTATGAAACAATGAAACGTATAATTATAAATTGAAAAAATGTCTTACCTATCACTACTATCATAAGATTCTGAACATTCTGAACTGACATCAGCTGTATCTTCAATACTATCATTGTTTAACTCATTATTCAATTTTGTTGTAGCTGCAACCGTTGCTGACATTTCTTCTTCGACCAAGTTTATTACTTTTAACATGTTTGTACCATTGTCTGAAGTGATCGTATACAATTGTTTTTGTTCAATTTTGAATTTTTTGAGAATATTAAGAATTGTTTCTTTTAAATATGTTCCTGCAATGAGTTCAACAATTATTTTCACTTAAACTGTAAAAGTGTAAAGTACCTATTGGCTGCTATAATATAAACTGAAATCAATTAAATAAAAGACTTAAGAAAACCACACAACTCACAATATTATTGTATGGGATTCTGTCAGTTCTACTAATCCTAAAGTCCTGAGCTTAATACAATCATCAACTATATATTGCATATTTATACCTAAAAAAGCTCTATTTAGTCTAGTAACACCATCGAGTTTGAGTGAAATGAGTTTAGACCGAACTTCATTAGCTATTTCATCTTGTATGAGAAGCGACTCTGCATGAACATGTTTCCTAGGAGGTAAAAATGTAAAATATATGATTATTGATTACCTATTTATTTTGCCAACATAATTAAAAAAATTTCACTATTCATACTTAATTGAGTAAGAGTTGATTGTAAATTTTTTCTCCTGAAGTCCATTTAAAACAGGATCCAGTATTTTACGAAAGCTAGTATCGTTTAACATGGTGAACGGACGTCCATTGACTGTTACAAGATCAATACACGCATCTAATATTATCTTTTTATTGAGTGGTACATTAACTTTGGGTACTAAAAAGTTGAATAGCTTAACTTGTGATTCTTTTTTTGTAACTTTTTTAGAACAATTATTTTTTTCCAATTCTTTCGACATATATTCTTCATGCAATTCATCATGGTGGGAAGCAAGATGACGTTTTAGATTCGTGCCATGTTTTCCCTATTATAATATATAAAAAAAAACAATATAAAAAATATACTAGAATACCTAATACATATAATATTCGTTGTAAGTAGGTTCCTAAATGTAAGTAGCTAAACTCAGTTGTAAAAAAAAATGTTGTATATACTATATTATAGCTACCTAAGATACCTAGGTACTAATCACTTAGTACCTACATCAATTTATTTTATGTTACATTTATTATAATTTAGTAGTAATTTTGTAGGTAGGTACTAACTTTTATTTTGCACGCCGATTCGTTTAAACTTTTATTGAATATAAAATAAGAATGAATTGTGGACACTCTTGGGCGACCCATATTTCAATTTATACTCTATACTTTATAGTTTTACACCTTATAAAAATATAAATTTTAGTTTTTAACAATAAACATTAATTAAACGGTAACGGTAACGGGAGAACCATTCAGTAGACGGAAATCAGTCGTAGTGTCGTACAGAGCATAGAGTAAAGAGTAAACATTATGCGTAGCTATTTTTAGCGGTATTAATTATTATTAACGACGCCGACGACGATGTCAATAACACAGCTGTGTTATTGATAATATATTAATATCATATTATTTGCGTTGGTAATATAATAATTGTTTGTAAAAATAGTATTAGTTTATTTTCATGATAGATAGAGGGAGTATCTTTATCAGACGTGTAATAACAAATAACAATAAGTGTATATTTATGTTCGCACTATAAAATATCTATTGGATTTTAGAACCGGAAATCAGCGAAAAAAACCGTAAAAACCTCTACATCAAAATAAAGGTTTTGGTTTCGGTTTCGGTTACTAAAAAAATATATTTAAGGGTTCCGCTCCGGTTTCGGTCACAAGTTTTTCAAAAGGTTTCGGTCTTTAACCGGTCAATTTCGGTCCCAAGTTTTTCAAAAGGTTTTGGTCTTTAACCGGTCAATTTCGGTACGGTTCCAGTCCCTGATTTATAGACATTCTTGCTACTACTCTAAATTTAAAAATTGTTTTTGAAATAAAAGAATCAATATATTTCGGTATTAGTATTGATTCGACGCCCGACATAGTCCACATCGATCAGTTAACGATCATTATTCGTTACACCACCATTGGTCAAGGTAAAGTCGTAGAGAGATTTCTTGGCTTTATTCCTATTGAACAGCATGATGGTAAATATCTTTTTAATGTATTGACTAAATTGCTTAACGATAACAATATTGACATATCAAATTTCCGTTCTCAGTCTTACGACAATGCGAGTAATATGAGTGGAATATACTCAGAAGTTCAAGCTCTTTTTCGTGAAGTAAATAAATTGGCCGAGTGGGTTCCCTGTGCTGCACATAGTTTAAACTTGGTAGGATCTGTTACTGTTGAATGTTGTACTGAAGCCATTAAATTTTTTAGTGTGGTTCAGTCAATTTATACGTTTTTGGAAGCATCACCTCAAAGATGGTCTATAATGTTAAAAAAATATGAAGGAGTCTGTTTTTTTAGTTAAAAGTCTGTCTGAAACAAAATGGTCCGCGCGTAGTGATGCAACGAAGGCATTATCACTTAATTATGAAGAAATCCGTCAGGCTTTGATTGATATTTCATTATCAGAAAGACAACCTCTTAATGCTGTTAATGAAGCTAAGTCACTTGTTAAAAAACTCAATCGTCTTGAAACTGTTCTAATGTCTAATATTTGGAATGACATTTTACAACAAATTAATTTTGTACACAAATCGTTACAAACACCCGGTATTGAGATTTGTACTGTCGTTAACCTCTGTAACAGTCTTATATTATGTTTTAAAAAAATGAGAATTTTAATTTAGATTTATTTGAAGAAAAAGCAAGAACAAGAGTTTCTGGTTTGTCTGATTATTCGGAAATAGAATCTAGAAAACGTAAACATAAAGTCTCGATAAATGATGGCAATGCAATTGATGCTGTTGATCAAATGAGTGCTATACATAAATTCAAAACTCAAACATTTTATGTAATAATTGATAAATTGATTGTTGAAATGGAAAAACGAAAAAAAGCTTGTTTAAAATTAGACGAAAGATTTAATTTTTTAACTAACGAGAGTTTAAAAGATGAAGAAATAAAAATAAATGCAAATAATTTAGTTGAAGCCTATAAAACCGATTTAGCTTCTTCATTTGTTAATGAGTTTTTGATTTTTAAGAGCTTTCGAGAAACTGGGATGTCTCTTAATGAAATGCTAATTAAACAAATAAATACCAAAATGGTAACAAGTTTCCCAAATGTAAATATTGCTTTTAGGATATATTTATCAATTTTTGGGACTTCGTGCGAAGGTGAAAGATCATTTTCAATTTTAAAGAGAGTTAAGAACTGGCAGCGGTCAACTATTGGATAAGATAAATTATCATCATTATCGGTACTTGCAATTGAACACGAATTACTCCAAGACATCGATACCGAAAAAGTTATAGAATCATTTGCAAACAAAAAATATCGTAAAAAACATTTGTAACTATAAATTTATATTAAGAGATATTCTACATAATACTGTTATTTTTAATTTGTTACAATAAATTATCTTTTGTTTTATATTTAAATACAAAGAACAAAATGAAAAATGGTATAAAATAAGTTGTTTTGTATGGTTCCTGCAGTTTAATTTTAAATAATATATTTTGAGTAAAATAAAATGTATTTTTAGATGTGTTGAAATTGTCATAAGATAAAGTTATGATTATAAAGTTAATATTTGATTTTCAGGTTGTAAATATTTTTGATTTTAAAGGCTTAAAACACTGCGAAAAACACTACCTCTCCCAAAAATTAGGTTTCTTAATCATTTAAATACTGAACACTACAGAACCGTATTAGCACATGATGGGTAATAAAGAACTGTGCCTAGGACTTACGATAGTGTTAATCCGGATCTGATTATGGATGTTTTTGACACGCGTTTAGAACTATCTTATACTTTAGTAACAAAAAAATATATAACTCTTAAATCAACTAAATTAAAATAAAAGGGGGGTTGTTCCATTACACCATTACAGTTTTCATATTTTTATAATTATAATATTACACATAGTATTATATTATATATTATTAATATATTATATCATAGATGCGCGTGTCATCTTTTATCCATTCTGTTATATCACGGAGTAAAGCTATATATACAGGGTGTTCCAAATTTCATGTGACAGCAGATTTCAGCATGTTCTACTCAAATTAGGAAAAAATGACCTATGTGAAAACTTATTTGAATCACATACTCTAAACTAATTTGATATTAATTTTTTTTTTTATTAGTTAAAAGGGGGGGATTTTAGGGGTAACTTTTAAAATTCAAATGGGAATCTATATTTTTGAAATATGATTGATATAGGATTTTTTTTTTAATGAATTTTGACGTATCATTCATAATTATTGGTTGATAATTAAAGAAGCTATTTACATTCGAATTTTGTATTTAATTTGTAAAAATGCCATCAATGAATAATAATAATAATATACTTTGTGCTTCTGTTATACGCCTTGAAGTACCTACAACCTTTATAATCTGTACGCTATCTAACTACCAATTTACTAGTAATAAAAATTATTTGTTATCTTAATTTCATTGTATATTACATAGGTCAAGTCACATGATTCTATTGATAATAATAAAAAAAAAAA